GGTCCGTATAGAGGATGATTAGGACCATGGGCCTGAGTGCAGGTGTTTGAGATGGTCTGCACTTGGCTGTGCTGGCGGATGGTCTGTATGTCAAGTTGCTCTGATTGGTTAATAAATAAAACCTGATCGGCCGTGGCTAGGCAGGAAAGATAGGCGGGACTAACAGAGAGGAGAAATAAAAGGACAGAAAGGTGGAAAAATCTAGCAACAGTTATGGCTGTTAGTTTGGTGTATTTGTGATACTCCTAAGAGTGGGAACAGGTATATCTGACTCTTTTGCCTGTTCTTGAAACTCTTTTCCTCGTACTAGTTTGCCTTTTCCAACCTCCATATGAGGGCTTTTGCCTTGTCTTATTATATTTTGTTTTGTCCTATTTTGCTCTTGTCTCTTGGAGGCCTGTTCTTTTCTCAAAAGGAAACAGAAGGGAAGTGAATCTGGAGGAGAGAGAAGGTGGGGGTAGCTGGGAGGAGTAGAAAAGGGGAAATTGTTATTGGGATGTATTGTATAAGAGGAGAATCTATTTCTTATAGAATTGAAAAATTATTACTTCATAAGCACTAGATTCATTGGCTGCCTTGTCTTCTCTGTGCTTGAAAAGGTAAAATGTTGAATCTGATGAGTAGGTCCTGAGTAATTTTCCTAAAGTCATATGCTGGAAATTAAACAGGCAAATTTCAAACCCCAATAAATTTATTTCTATCATTTACTACTTATTTGGACATACAAACCATGCCTTACAACTAAAATATGGAAATTGACGTACTGGCTAGATTCAGATGCAGAAATACCATCATCACAGCATTTGTTTTAAAAAGCTGCATTTTAGGGAAGAGGTCATATATGGAGTAACATGACATGGTTGTCACTAATTCATAGGACCACAAGTCCATGAGGGACAACAATTGAGATAAGTCACACAGTCAAAAGGATTTGGTTGATGAGACACTCACAGGAATTAGGCAAAAAAGAAAACACATAATGTGAAGAATGGCAGTGGATGAACTACAGTTAATCATAGATGTGCAACAAGAACATTTTTTAAAAGAAAAGGAATTAATAGAACACAAGTACAAAGTTCACAGTGAAATGTAATTGTTTCAGATATGGGATGAGAGAGACACACACACTGGATAACATGAAGTCTATAGTCATAATTTCATTTCATGAAGCTTCTGTAATGACATTCCATACAGTAAACAATTATCAATTACCTAATTGCTTCAAAATGCTTCATCTTTTGTTTGCTTTGTTCAGTTTAAACTCATCATTGTAGAGGCCTATATAGACTGTCTATATAATTATGCTGTTCATAGCAGGAAACCTGGAGAGTTCATGCTAGTGCTCAGTATAATTATGCTGGGACAAGTATAATTACACAGCTTCAGGCAAACCATGATACATTATCACCTTATTCTTATACCTATTAAAGAGATATTTTACTGTGTAGTCCATGTTGAAATCTTAGCTCAGGCACTCTGAAGCTATGTATAAAACTAATAATACCTCTACCTATCTTAGAAAGTTATCGGGAAGAAATAATGTTATTCATTTAAAGCATAGAATCTTGTTCTAAGTACATAATAAAATCTCTAATAAGTGTTAAGTTTTATTTAAACCATCTATATGCTCCTAATTTATCCTCTCATCCTAGTCAATTACGATGACTATTGGGAACATAAGATCAAAATAGAATTTAGGTGACCAATTACTCAGCCACTACCCATTCTTTGCTAAAACAAAAGAATTGAAACATAATTTCAAACCAAATGCAATTTCAAGAGCTGGAAATAAGTCTTTGAAATCAGATTGATATGGATCAACTCACTTTGCTATTTTTTTGTGTAAGGCTGTTTCTGAAGACATTTTGAGGTTTGGGAAGCATATACCTATAAGTAATGAGCCCACTAAGCATCATCTATAGATAAATATTTAATATTACATTAAGGAAATTCACAGACATGTATTAGGAAAAAAGAATGCAAATTAAGAGACTTACTGATTTATTTGTGCCATTTTTTTTCCTTTCTATCAGTGAATAGTGACATTTCGACTACTGTAGTGATGAGACTGTGTAGAATTTGCTACCTAAAATGGATGCCCTAAGTTATTCAGAGTTTGCGAACCGTTTGACTAGACCAAAGATCGGCAAACATCTTTTTTTTTTTTTTTCTGATGTGTTATACATGTCTTGTGATGAGTCATCGAGTTACAGCTATATTTTTTAAAGCTTGCCTTTGTCATGTGAAAGAAGTCATAGATGGTAAATGTTTGAATAAATGGGGTTGTGTTATAAATGAAGATCCTGAAATTTGAAATTTATATAATTGTAAGTTATGTAAGTATCATTCTTCTGATTACTTTAATCAATTAAAATGTAACATTAGGGCCGGAGAAATGGCTCAGTGTGTAAAATACTTGCCTTGGAAGCATGATCACTAGAGTTCAAATCCCCAGGGCACACATAAAAGGTGGTCATAGTAGTGTATGTCTGTACTGCCAGTACTCCTAATATGAGTTCAGAAGCAGACACAGGAGGATCCCTAAAATCTCACATTTCAGTTGCCCAAGGAGGCATAGACAACGACAACAACAACCACATCAAAAATAAGAAAAACAAGAATCTGCCTCAAAATGTGGAGTTCAAGAACCTGACACAAATATTATCCTCTTCCTTCGATACACACTGTGGCATGCACATGTCCATGCTCACACAAAGAATATGTACATAGATATATATCTCTCACACATAGACAAATAGCATATATATATATATATACACATAAAGTTAAAAAATATACAAATACTAATTTTTAGTTCATAACTCACAAAGAAAATAGTAGCAGGCTGTTGTCTGAAGGTCATCCCTATTTGAACTAGACAATTATCTCAGAAAAATAAATAAAAAATAAACATTTTCAAGATTAAGAAGCCCAAGATTTAGTTTGGATTTTTAAATCAGGTTATAAGTCATGAATGAATGAACAAAATGTACCTTATAATGTATTCAAACAACTTTTCTAGATGTTTCTTTTCCTTTGCTAAGAACATCTGACATACTATTTTTGGTATATATTCTTCCTATACTTCTATACTCTGGGATATGCAAATTCTAATGTCAAGTGTTCTATACATTCCTGAGCATATGCTACTTAGAAAGTTAAGGCATATTGCAATGTACTTTCTTAATCTTAAAATTACAATAATGGATATAGGATAGAAATTGTACTATTTTATGATTTTCATGTTAGTTCTGCCATGATTTTCATACATCCACTGATTTACATAATGCCTAACTTATCTATAGTGTCTACTTATGATTACTCACAAAAAGATCTATTAAAAATTCCAACACCTTCGAGACAAAACTTTATAAATATCAAAGAACAGGAAATCTATTCATAATTACTCCTGATTTAGGATGTGCAAATTGAGACATTCTGTTCTCATAAAGTGGCAGAATAGATTTAGCCTATTAGAGGTATACTTCTTCATGAAACTGTACTTCCCATTACTAGAAGGAAGTAATTTAATCCAAAACTAACACCTGAACAAACAGGCCCTTTTTGACAAAAAACAGAACAAAACTGGACACTTTCAGTATTAAAATGTGTCTTGTAGTTTCTTCTTTTAATTCAGAAAATAGCATTTCCATTAAGTCTTCGGTTGTTGACAAAATGATTTCTTGAGTAAACTTGAAAACTTGTCTCATTATTTTTCTCACTTTTTAACTGACATTACAAAATACCCAAGCTTTGGGAAATATGAGGCAAGTATAAAATATGACTCATGTAAATAAGTTTCCATAAGTTTCCATGCTTAAAAATGAATCTTCATCTGTGAATAAAATCATGAATAAGATGTTCTCACCTTTTTCTAATTTCAGAATCCACAGTAATTTGCCTCTTCTTTTGAGGGGGTGGTGGTGGAAGTTCCTCTTGGGCATGTTTTACCAGGATTTGTTCCCTGGTGGTCACCATAGTTACCGTTTCCATTACAGTTGTCTGTGTTAGTGACGGCTGAGTGGTGGTGACAGCCTGTGAAATCTGTGAGAAATATTGAAACAGAGGTCAGACACTGCTCAAAAGACTTTGGTAAAGACTGCTTGGAGTGGAGAAAGAAAATCATGAGAAACTGTTCCTTCTTGTTGGTAGATTGACCTTCAGATCAAACTAACACCATATTAAACCTGAATCAAATTCTTTTATCTGACTTCAGTTATGTTGACTGAAACAGAAAATCAGATGTATACAGTGACTCTTGACTGTATTGGAAAAACTTTAGGAAATAAAGGAAGCCAAGAAGGATGAGTATGCCACTATATCATTAAGGCATGCTGATTAAAGTATTCACAATATTAAGATAAATTTTACCAGAGTATCTGAGCACAATTTCTAACACCAGGGACATTGTATATGCATTTTAATAGTTTTCTAATTATTTTAGATAAAAAAGGACTTGAATGAAGACAAACCTGTAAAAAGAAATAATTATTTTAAATAGACTTTAAAATGAAAATTTTATTTCATAATGATTATTTTGTTCATTATGTATTTAAAAAGATAGTTGAACTTTGGAATAAAATGCTCTTCAATAAAAATATAAATTTTTACAATTTCAGTAAAATGATAATATAAAGTATTTCTTAACCCGTAAGTGTCTTTGAGTTTCATGTTATTCAAAATTTTAAGTTTAAATACTCTCTGTGTAAGTTACTGAATATGTTCAAATACATGAGTTTCTGAATTTATCATTAGAGACTTTTATTTTAAGGTTATACTCTCCTTCAGACCAGACATTTTTACAGAGATATAATTCACAAATTTGGCCTACTATAATATGTTATACACATAATGACAGTTGTCAGTTCCATATGTAAGCTAATACCAGATAGATAAGTTGTATAAAATGACATATTCCTTCCCTTATCTTCCTCACAATGTTCACTTTATTATGACTGTAATTTACCTCTGGCATATTAACTACAGTGCTTCCATAAGCAATTTATTTGGAAGATTTATTTCCAAAGAGGCCAAAGCAAGCCTGCATTAGTTCTTCTTTTGTCTAATAACAGAAGAAAGGTATTTGACTTCACCAAGAATTGTTTTTGGACTTTCTTGAACTTCCTAAGAAATATAAGAAAATTTGATTGTACGATCTCAGGCAGACTAAGTGTTGACTGATTCTTTCATGGGAAGAAATGTGGGGAGTCAGAAGATTTATTTCATCTTCCAAACTGGCCACAAAAGAATGAAATCCATCAACAAGTTTTCATCTGTAAATTTTGTTTCAATTGTACACATTTAAAACATTAGCCTTTGGACAGACAGCATCTTTGAACATGTTAAAGCCTTCTATTTCAGTAGTTTCTTTATGCAAACCACGCAAGCATACAAGGACTACCACAGCAAAATATCCAGCATACACCAAGAGATACTGAACTCTTCCATGTGAAAAATGCAAGTTATCTTTTATAAGCCCTTCATAAATTCATTATGCAGAATCAATCATAGAGCTATGGGCAACTTTAATTACATACTCAAATGGCAGGTTATATTAAGATTAAAGCAAGAGGCATCAATTTTAAAGTTACTTATAATATAAACTCAAATATAATTGCACCTAACAAAAAGAACATTAAATGAACACTTTAAATTTGCCTTCATTCTGAAAGAAATGTAATTTTATTAGGATTCCAAGAATCATTTTATTGTGATATTTTTTAAGTCACAAGGAAGACAATTTTACATATAATAACTAACTGCTATAAGAGAATATTTTTTCCTGAGAAGAGTAGCTATAAGTGATCTGATTACAGACTATATGAAAATATAAAGCATTTCTTTTAAAGTTATGTCATATGGCATATTTATATTTTAGTATTAGGTATTTGACTATGTAGTTGATTTCTGTTATGTTAATATCTTCTTATTCATCCTCGTTATAAAATTTAGTAGACTTGTACATGCAGGTTTAAAAGAACATGATTAATGATGAAACTACATTTTAAGAATATACACAGTCAAGGTAACCCATCTTATTATATCTTGTTTTGTCCTGTTTGTTTGTCAGCTCTTGGAGGCTTGTACTTTTCAGAAGAGGAGATGGAGGGAGGGTAGAGCTTAGGGAGAAGGGGAGAGGTGGTAGGGTGTTAGGAGGAGTGGATGGAGGCAAACCTGTGGTTTGAATGTAGTGTATGAGAGAATAATCTATTTTCAATAATAAAAAAAGAATATACACAGCCATGTAGAAAAGTGCAAAGAGTCACTTAAAAATAATAGTAGTAAAATATGGAACGACGATGGCTATATACTGTCTTTATCACAACACCATGATTAACAATATTATTTTATGTGCTTTGAGATGAAGAAATAAGAAAACAATCACACATTGACCCTGAAAAAAACAGGACAGAATTAATTATGTATAACAAATTAATTACTACTCTCCAAACCTACTCTATGTAATCAGACAATAAAACAATTGGTCATATACTAAGTTCTTCCATGACTTTGAGTAATTGAATGTAAATACTAATTATTCATTAGAATCATTATAATACAGACAGGAAAGAATTTATGGAAGCCATTTAACCTAATGTTATGCTTACTATAGAAATTTTTCTCCCAGAAGTTGAAAACTCTTTCCTTAGTATGACAGCAGAATTTTTGATTTATCAAGAATTTAACTCTAATTGGACTGTTGGTTATTTTGATGTCTAATTTCTTGAGTTCTTTATATATTCTGGATATGAGCCCTCTGTCAGATGTGGGGTTGGTGAAGATCTTTCCCCATTCTGTGGACTGTCATTTTGTCTTGTTGACCGTGTCCTTTGCCTGGCAAAAGTTCTCAGTTTCAAGAGTGGAAACACATGAACTACAAACCAATAGCTGAGGAGCCCCTATGGAACTGGATCAGGCCCTCTGGATAAGTGAGACAGTTCAGTTGATTAGCTTGAATTATTTAGGAGGCCCCCAGGCAGTGGGACTGAGACCTGTTCTTAGTGCATGAGCTGGCTTTCTGGAACCTAGGGCCTATGCTGAGACATTTTGCTCAGCCTTGATGTAGGGAGGAGGGGACTGGACCTGTCTCAACTAAATCTTCCAGGCAGAGCTGAATCCCCAGGGGAGACCTTGCCTTAAAGGAAGTGGGAATGGGGGGAGGATTGAGGGAGAAGGCTGGGGGGTGGGAGGAGGGAGGACAGGGAAATCTGCGGAGGATATGTAAAATTAAATTAATTAAAAAATTTAAAAATGATTAAAAAATTCCATCATAATAATTCATCAATTCTCTCTATGGGATTAAGGTAAAAAAGTAATTAATGCATTTTATTATAGGTGAGTAAACTATATTAAATATATGTTTACAAAATAAATTTCTGCTTATATATAACTTTAAAATATGTATAATAGATATTAAAATGTTTTGAGAAAAAGGAATTTAACTCTAAAGACAATCTACTTATTATGACTCTTCCAGGTCAGTTTTTCATTGAAATTGGAACTAAGACTGGGTAACTTGGACATTGTTTCTAAACACCAATTTTAAAGATTAAAAACTCAATAATCATGACCCTATTAAACATTGTTTTGAAGGTTTGAAATGTCAGGGATGTGTTCAAACTGTAATTAATGTGGTTGATGTGTCAAAACCAAGATTTTCTGTTTTTGTACATCAATATTACATAAAGCAATCTAAAATTATGTTATTTAGTAGATATACCATAATATTTTAAAAGTTCAATACTTATCAATTGCACATCCCCATAGGACATTTTGAAATGGGTAAAATGGAATCAATATCTTCAATATTTTATATTGTATCAGGCAATGTGATAATCACAGTAATATTTGTGAAGTATTATAAGTTCTATATGAAAAAAACCTAACTATGCAAAATAATACATGCACTAAAAATACAGTTGTGAAGGACATTTTATTTGACATGGTATAAAGCTAGACTTCTCTCAATCAACGACTTAACATATGAATTGATTTTGGTACCAAGATATGGATCTAAAGTTCTATGTCTCATGAATGTATACTGAACAACTATCACAGGAAAGGAGAGCCAACAGTAAGCACCAATAATAATTGGGTAACTAAATTTATTTTTAATATTAACTACACTGTTTTGTCACCAACAATAAGGTAACAAATCTTCTTGAATAAGAACCGGCACAGGGATTATGAGAACAATTATTGTCAAAATACTCAGAGGACATCATAAAAGTAATCATTCTTGACTTTGAAATAAAGTACTACATAATATATTTAAGAGGGTTCTTTCTGTGAAGTTCTCTCCAGTTTTATATATTTTGTTCCTCACTTCAATTTTCCTTCAGTACAAAAATATATCATAAAGGAACATACACAGTGATTTCTGAATTCATATTAAATATAAAATTTGAGCAACTTTGTTAGCAGTACCTGCAAAAATTGAAAAGCAATGGCATTTATGTTTTTCTGATTCACTTGACCTTCCACTACATATCATATGTGATGGAAGTGATGAAACATTTTATAACTAGTGATTATGAAGCATATAGTTAGGAACCATTTGTTTACACATCATTTCATTTATTTTCATTAGGCAATAAATAAATATTATAGATGGAAAATATTTTGAAGATATTTTCATAGTAAGTAAAGTTTTTTTAATAACAGAAGTCAGTCTAATTAAGTAGAATGGAAATGTTTTTTATTTTATCCATATTTCCATCTGCTCTGACATTCATGTAGATGAGATAATATAGAAATTGCTTCACTAATTTATAGATTTATACACAATTTCAAGCAAAAAGGAAGATACAACAGACATTAGAGACTAGAATATTATTGTAGAGATCAACTTGAATTATATTTTTATTTTATAAATAAAATATAAATAAAAGAGATATTGCAAGTTTCAACTCAGCCAGCCTCACTCAATCAATTTCAGTGTTTAGAGTATTTTCACTTACTGTAGGTAATGAAAGGACAGTGCAAGACTGACTGCACTTATATCCAAAGCCCTTGCCAAATTCGTACTTTCATTGCTGGTATCAAAATTATACTTAATTTCCCGAGTAACTTGAGATCTAACTTCACATTTTTCTAAGAAAATCTTTAATCTACAGAATTACCCAGAAGATGCATTAAATTTTGAAGTGGCTAAAACATGCATTTAAATAAGATGAAATCCTAAATTTAATTATATATATATATATATATATATATATATATATATATATATATATATATATATATATGTATGTGTGTTTGTGTGTGTGTATATTGCCAGTTGGATTGTTAGTTGTGGATAACTTTATGGAACCAATAAAAAGTATTGTCAACAGAAAAGGTTTTAAGTGTGTGTTTTCTTTTAATTAAAATCCCTACAAAAAGGCAGCTGCTAACCAATCCTAACTACATCACCTGTATCCACAGGTTGGCATGGGACTAAGAGCTTCCTGGTATAGGTGAAAGTAACTAAACTTAGGGACCTTCCAGACTTGGTGTATTCCTTTGTGTCTCCTGTCCCTACATTCTGTCCTTAGGTTGGTCAAGAACCTGTTGAAGCCCTCCATGCTGGGGCACAGGAGCATTATGCATTCTGAACCACTGAGCCATCTTACAGCTTCTCATTTGTATTGTGGGTACATTGGAAAATTGGCTTATGATTTGTGTTACCTACATCACCATCAAAGTTGTTAAATCTGTCACAAAGACATAAAATGACACAGAATATGTATATACAATGCCATTTTATCTCTTTGAGAGAATAAAATATTGCAAGAATTAACTCAGCCTAAATCTTGAATGCAGACACATGTACACAGCATGGACATTGACTGTCATGTTCAAGGACAGGAGAATTATGAATGCTCTAGTTTCATCTTTAGGATATTTATTCTCACAATTGAAATTACTTTGAAAATGCTCATTAGCTGTGTAAAAACAAAATAAATTGTGATATCAAAATTTATGAGTCATAGCATTTTTCTTATTCCAAAGAAAGAAGTTACCTTGCTGAAAAAAGAGACTGGAAACTTCTAGATTTAACAGGGTAGATATATTCATATCTCAAGTCATCAGATACTCAACTTTTAATATATTCTACCATATTAATTATAAAGCACATAAGCCACTTATCTTTCCCAGAGAATATGATTTTAGATAAATGGCTATGATGATGCTTCAGCTCAGTTAAATTATATTTAATTTCCTTTATTAACTATACAGAAATGTTAATTATATTTCATAATTAAAATCAAGATAACAATACATTCATTAGGGTCATGGCATTTTGAAAACAAACTGTGCATATCTTAGCATGCACATTTGTAAAAGCATTAGTTGAAGACATAATCATTGTAGTTTCACAGAAGTCAATCCATGGTATGCTTTTTAGCCTCCTTTCCCATTTTAGGTATTCACACAACAAATAGTTACTATTCTTCCAGTATTTGGGAACAGAAAGTATTCTATTTTCTTAGACTGTCTTTTCATCAAGTTTAACATCCCTAGCTTGTGTTCAGGTATTCTTCAGGCCAAAGTTGACTTTAACATGCAAGAGAGAAGTCTTCATACATGAGGTTCCTCCACCCCCAACACACTTAGATTTTTTTTTTGCCATGCAACAGCTTCTTAAGTTCAAAATCCCTCAATGCTTTGACCTACAAAACCATCAAAGGTATAGGTACATGCATTTCTTTATGTGAGCATGATCACAGTTCCTGTAATCTCCATGACAATCCTAAAGCTTGCTTCACAGTAATGAATTTTAACTGTTACCAAACTTTGCTCATTGCTATGGGACAATGCTGTTGTACACTGGTTTAATAAAACACTAATTGGCCAGTAGCCAAGCAGGACGTATAGGCAGGGCGAGCAAAGTAAAAGAATGCTGGGAAGAGGAAGAGCAGAGTCAGGAGTCACCAGACAGAGAAAGCAAGATGTGAAAGCAGAACTGAAAACAGGTACCAAGCCACATGGCTAAACATAGATAAGAATTATGGTTTAATTTAAGTGTAAGAGCTAGTCGGTAATAAGCTTGAGCTAATGGCCAAACAGTTTAATTAATATACTGAGTGGTTATTAATTAATTAAATATTAATTATTATTAATTAATTTTAATTAATAATACTGAGTGATTATTTTATAAGTGGGCTGTGGGACTGAAAGGGCTTGGCAGGACCTGGAGAAAACTTCCAAATACAGCTCATTCTTGTTTGTTTGTTTGTTTGTTTGTTTTACAAGACAGGGTTTTATTGTGTAGCTTTGGCTATTCTTGAACTCACTCTGTAGACCAGGCTGGCCTAAAACTCACAGAGATCTGCCGGCCTCTGCTTCCTGAGTGCTGGGATTAAAGGTGTGTCCCACCACTGCCTAGCAACTTTGCTTAATCTTACAGTAATCTCTTAAAAGTCATTTTCAACACTCCTGCACTGAGTGCAAATTGTTAATGAAACTTGTTGCCTTCCTTTGTAACAGAAGAAAAATGTACAAATTTGAGTGAATCTCTTTAAAGTTAAAATCGTAACTGCAATTTTTCTTAGAATTCTTATACAATTTAGATCAAGCTGAATTTGTAGTTAGATAAAAAGCAATTAATTTTCATGTACAAGTTATTTCGTCCTTCCCATCTTTTAATTTCCATTTTCTTGTGTTGCTCTGTTTCAATATTCCTACAAACTAATAACCTCAAGCAAAGCCTTGAGTTGACTCTGTGATTGCATGATTTGTGAAAGTTCTTGAGGAAAAACAAAGACATGAATATATGAAAAGCTTTAGGCATATTGTTACAGGACAAAGCAAAAAAAAACTGACAAAATTATACTTCCAAAAATATATTTGTAAAAAGTGGTATCTTCTGAATTAGTTTTATCAAATAATACTGACCTTTACAATACTATATTTAAGAATTTTATTGTCATTGTAATTTATGGAGCCAATGAGAACATATAGGAATGACAACACTTCTGAATTAAAACATTTCAAAGTTACTAGTGCTTCATGTTTTCAGATACCTACAATACTGCAAAATATCCATAGGCAAGTCATATACAATAAAAACATTAAATTATGACTATCTATATAATTTGTTTAATGGAAAACAAAGGAGATTTTTAGTTATAAAATGACATGAGAAATGATGTTTATATATCCACTCCTTTCTTATTTTAAATATTAATTTCAATTTGAAAGGAAGATGTAAGTATAATTGAAAATCATGAATGAGAGCTGATGTTTTTCTGCAATTGTGTTTCAAGATACATTATCTTAATATTTTTCTTCATATTTCAACTAGTATTTTTAAATTCTGCATAGCAGTTATCAAGTCTCAGGAAGACAATTTCTCTGTACTTAACTCAAAATAGGAGAAATACCTGCCTAAAATCTATTAAGTATAGTCATTGTTATAATAGTGGTATGTATATGAATAATGAGCTATAAATTGTGATCAATTATCAAGAAACTTTTATGATTAAATGTAATGGGAAAGATTATGTTAAATATTATCATACATAAGTGTTTTGAATACCCACCCATTATACCATTATCTACCCATAACAGCAAAATATTTTCAAAATACCAGTATTTCCTAAAATTAGCAAAATAGCAAAATCTCACAACATAAACTGATATTACATTGTTACTGTGACTTAGCTACTTTTTCTTATCTAAATTTATGTTTATGTAACAGCTGGTGCGATAACACAATGGACATGATAATACAATTCCCTAGTATTCTGTTTAATTACTTCAACATTCAGTTTTCCATTCCTAGGGAACCAGTAGGATAGCAATAAGTTCATTCAATTGGCTCTCATACATCTGCCTTTCCCTAGTTCTCTAATACCAGTAAAAGCAAGGTAACCATGTTTTTAATTCAGCTGAACACTGGTAAAGGATTAAACTCATGCCATACTTGGGGTCATGAAAGTATTTTTTGTCTTAATGTAGTTCTCAAATATTTCCCGGATAATTTTCAATATATTTCATATCACTTACTTGTGTTGAACTCTTTTCAAGTTTTTGTGCTAAATTATCCCAACGTTGTGCAAAGTTTTCCATCCAGATTTCCATCTTTTGAGTCACTGACTTATTTCTCAGTGCTGAAAGGAGATCTTCGTTGAGTGAACTGAGTTTTTCCATGGTTTGTCTTTTCTTTTCTAGATCTATTTTTAACATCTGTCAAAACAAGAGCAATCATGGAATTAAGTCTGGGTCTTAGAATACTATAATTCAATCACTTGCATGTCTTTGCTCCCTTGTATAGCTGAGAAAATGCTGTAAATGCAGCTGCACAGTGTCAAAGGCCTATAAAACTCTAGGTAGAACAATGCAATCTAAATATACTATCTTAGAAATCTGAAGATTAAAAACAAAACATCAGATGTAGACTAAACATCTAAAATTTCACTTTAACATATTTGAAGGAATGCCAAACAAAAAGACACAGTCACCCCAATAGGAAATCAACATGTACACACTTTTTTTTTAACATTTGAAGATGGATGGCTTTTAGGTATTGCTGAATTTCTTTCTCTCTTTTTTTAATTGCTGAATTTCTTAACTGCTTATTAAATTCAAATGAATACTATCATTAGTTAGGGCCATTGTTGAGTGGAGAAAACATGAATGGTTACAGGCCTTTGAATTCAGAAATGCTCTGTTCATTTGGCCAAAACTGAAGTATTTTTTTAATCACAATTTTAACACTCCCCTATCTGTTAGTAGAAACTGTATTGTTCTATGGTTTCCTAAATTTAATGTTTATTTGTAACCATTAGTCATTCAAAATGTGGTTATTTGTGTGATTATTTGCTTTTTTATCTGTTTGTGTGTGGGGCCTTGGGTACTGAACACATTGTGTCTTATGCATGTGCTCTACTACTGCATCAGACACTCAGTCCTTGAGTTACTATTTTCTAAACTATTTTAAACCCAATTAAATAAAGTGACTAAGTCACTGAATATGAATCAAATCCTTCAGAATGTCTTTGCTTACTTTCTAAATGCTTGTGTATTATATTAAGTAATTGTTATACTTTTTATAGATTCAGAATTGATGCAGATGGTTTTTCCTGCCTGCAGGTTTCTTTGGAATAGATAAACAAAGTGTGAAATCGGTAGATTATCTACTAAGGTCATCCTTCACAAAAAGGAATAAAATTTCTAGTTATCAAATGCTAGTCTGTATATTTGTTTATAAACAGAGAAAAGCAAAACATAAAATAAGATTATTTTGCAGTCTTTCAACAGCCCCATTCTACTGGCAGTAAGGATAGTGAATATCAACTAAACTATGATACCTTTCTAAATCAAATACATGTTTACTTAAGAACAACTAGCATTATATATGACCCAAGAAATTATCATGAAGCAGATGTACCAAATGTCACAGACCAAAATGTCATGCAGAGAGTAATCAATACAACCCCCTACAAGGGACATTTTATGCAACTTATTTTGGCATGCCACCTGCATTGACAGCTATGAAGTGCAGAATGTTCTAGTGTCTCCTTCAATTAGCTTACCCTTTTGTTAGAAGCTGTTTTACTTGGAGAATTTTATGAGCAGCCTTCATGCCATACTATGGAGGGATACAAGTTGTGAAGCTCATTTCTAATTTTTTATTAATAATTTCTATTTTCTCCATTTGAAAATTATTATAATCTAAAGTATTAATTGAGATATAACCTGAATTCATAACAAATCTATCAATGTCATAGCACAGTCCTACATAGGACTGGGGAATTTGCTTTGCTAAAATCATGTTAGATTTCCATTAAGTTTAAGTACATTCTTATACTAGTAGTAAAGCCATAGTTTACGTTACCTAAGTGGGACTGAAAGTCAAATTTGAATTCTACTGTAAATCCTTCCAATTCTTTTATGGAAGATGTCTCATTTTCATTGTTTTCTCTTAATTAATGTTGTCATGTATTTATTTTATTGTAAGAAACTATAGCTTCTTAATTTTTATAACATGCTCTTATTTTTTTCATTTAAAATGGAAAGACATAAACTTACTCATCATTGACTTATTTTCTCAAACTTAAGGAAGAATTTTAAATACCCATATGTGTAGACATAGAAGGTGCACCTACTATTAAAGCTACATAGGCAATGATTTAAACATTTTGCTGGGGGAATATGAAATTCATGCTTAAAGAAGACTGTTTGAATAT